AAATTTAAATTAGAAAACAATTTTCGTTATAATATATGAAATAAAAAAGTGATTTGAATATAATGATCGGCAATCAATTTATTTTATTAAAATATATATATAATTAGCGCATAAATAATGATTTTTTTAGCAAATATTTGTCTGATATGATAGATAAGAGTCGCTCTGGAAGTGTTTGAGTGATGTTTTTTGTTTGTTATTTGTTTTAATGTCTCAAACGATGGCTAATAACGAGTGGATATCTGGAGGCGATTGCAAGGAATGCCTTCACAACGAACCCAATCACAGGTAAGCGAACCATCAATTTATGGACAAATACTATACTTTATAACTATTGAATAAATTTTGTGATCATTTTATGGCTTTTATAACAGGATTGCCGACAATTACGGGTTGTGTTCAACGCATTCATTAGTGAATAATGACTTAATAATGGAGAATATCTTCAAGTGGTTAGAAATCTCTGAACTGATTAAATGCTCCGATGTTTGCCTTAAATGGAGAAGTATTTCGCAACTAATTGGTTATAAACGGCAATATTTTTCGCATAAATTACTTTATTTCACTTTATTATCCACACAATCGTCGCTCGCATTTAGAGATAAGTATAGGAATGTATGCAAAGAATCTATGGATGAAGTCATCGATTCCTACAATCATTATCTGTCGAGCAATCGATTAAATGAATTCAAATTTATTATTGTTTTCTCGAAACTGGATTTCAATCAAATGCAAGAATTTCTCGCTAATCAACGCATACCTAATGATTGCACTGTTGTTCACATTAATTGTCGAAACGAAGTGATTGGCACTCAAGAGGTGGTGCCGAGGAGTGGACGGTCTGTGGCCGCCAATCATCACATTGAATACGAGTCCGGTTTTGATCTACTGTCGGGAATATCAGCCCTTTTTATGTCGAGAGCAATGCCTGGTATTGAAGTCCTTATGTATAGAGACTCGACAATACTTGATCTCAAATTTGATGATCAACTCAAATGCATTCTTGTGTTTCACATTCAACGATCAATGTATGGACACTTCACTCGATTAAAAACCGACAGTCAGTACTTGGAATATTTGGAGCAATTAATCGACAATAATAATACGGCAGCGTTTGGTGGAGTCTCTGTTGACCGACTGGCCTCCGGCCAGACCACAGACTCCGACCGGGATGTGAACCAACCCATAGACTATATCTGTTGTCTCGCCTTTTCGGGTCATAATATACAAGCGTTTAGTTTTGTTATGGATTTTAATGACATTAATATCAAGTCTCGTTTGAAATTAATTTGTGATGAATTGAAACTAACGATAACTCACAGAACAGAAAGTATTGGTTTGGTTTTCGGTGAGAATATAAAGCAAGCAATCGTTAAAATGAGAAATACATTCAAAAATATGATCAAAATCATTGGCTGTTCCGGTATTAGCCATGGATTGAATTCAATGAATGCCAATCTAAGGGAGAATTCATTTTTTAAAAGAGGAAAATGTGTTTTACTTGTTATACAACTCAATAAAGCTTTTGAATAAATGATTTTTATTAACAGATAATCTAATATTTAATTTATTTTGAATATTTGCTTAAAATTGTCATTTAATTTAATAATACATAAGGATATGAAGGCAATGTATGCACTGGTAGTGGAGATCCTAAACAACAAACAAAACAGTGATTTTAGGCAAAGATAAACTGACAACAGATACTGGCGATGACCCGACACCTGAGTGACCCATAACAACAAACAACATGATGTTTTTCAGGGCCAGTAATACAGGTGTATAACAGTATATGATATAA